TGATAGGGAAATAATCGCGGAAGTAGCGCCAGAGGGTCCAGCGGCGCACCCAGGCCGATCGGCGACCCCCGCGGGCCGGCGTGTCCCAGTCCAGGTAGAGCCAGGCCGCGTAGAGGACGGCCAGCGCCCAGCCCTCGCCCAGCAGCAGCACCAGGTACAGCACCAAGCAGCATTGCGCTGGAGGGGGGGAGAGAGAGAGAGACAAGGGGGCAGAGAAAGACGCCGGCGGGCCTGGGTTACTCGCGACCCTCCACGGTCCCTCACCCCGGACAGGAGTCGCCGGGCCGCACCTTCCCTCTCCGCGCGGGGAAACACTGCACAGCGCCCACTGAGCAGCCTCCCCTCTGCACACGCCCAGAGGCACTGGGGTAGATGTGTTTCTTCAGAGCGAACCTGTTTGCAGACCTCTCCTCCAGCCCATTTCGGCCCCACAAGCTAGGGGTCCTCCTCTCTCTCTCTCTCTCTCTCTCTCTCTCTCACACACACACACACACACACACACACACACACACACACACACACACACACACACACACACACACACACACACACACAGAGAGCTGGGTAGGAAAGACCCGCTTGGCCCCCAAAAGATACACGCGCGACCTGGCTTCGGCAAACCGCCCTCGCCGAGAGCGGCCCACGAGCAGAGGGCGGTCGGAGACCAACACGCTCGCTTACCAGGGCAGCCCCAGGGAAGCCCTCGCTCCTTGCCGCTAGGCTAGGCTTTCTTCGGAGTAGGGCGGGGGGGAAGCAAGGAATGTGGGAGAAAAAGTGCGGCACCGCGAAAGGAAAGGACCGAACCGCGCCTGCTCGCCTTCGGGAGCCCCTCGTGCTGACATCGGAGGAGGAGGGATGCGTGGGGACCCACCGCAAGGCCTGTCCTCGAGGAAAGCAGGCGCCTGGGCTGCCCCTCCATCCCCTCCCCCCGCCAGAGCTCTCTTCTCCCCCTCCCCAAAAAGAGCCCCTCTCCCTCCCTCCCTCCCTTCCTCACCTAAGGCCAGGAAAGAGAAGACCCACTGGAGGACGGCGGCGGTTTGGAGACGCCGCCGGAGGGGCAAGCGCAGCGGGGCGAACTGAACCCACATGGCGAGCGCAGCGGGGCCGAGACCGCAGCCTGGCAGCCTTCGCCGAGCGCTGGAGCTTATCACGGCAGAGCCACGCCCCGCACTCGGATTGGCCCCGCCCGGCTCTCTCCGTCCCCCACGCCGAGGAGGCGGAGGTGAGGAAGGCAGACGTTCAGCCGGTACTGCCTCCCTTCCAGGGCCGCGCGTGGGGCGCGTGCCTGGCCGGCAGCTGTGCGGGACCGGGAAGGCGCGAGGCTCGAAGGCGTTCTTCCGACGGGTCGCTGCCGACTGGCCTTGGACCCGACGGCGGCGATGGGAAGCAGAGTCCCGGGCGGGTCGCTTGTCGGTGCGTCCCAGCGGTTACAACAGAACCGTCCCAGTGCTCTCTTCGGCCAGAGCTCGTTGGCAGGCGGGGATGAGGGAAAGGCACGCTGCAGGAGCAGGCCAGAAGACCGCTTGCTTTCCCTCTACGGTTCCCCTCCATCCAGGAGCAGAGCTCAGGGTGCCGAAGCGGCTTCGGGGCGGACGCTGATGGTCGCTGCCCACATTCTGGCCCTCCAGAGCTCCCCCCAAAAGGAGGTTGGCGGGGAATTTCGTCTCCTGCTTCCTTCCCCCAGACCGCCCCCCCCCGCCCCATTGTCTATTTGTGTTTAGCTTGGCAGAGTTAAATCAGCGCTCAGTCCCAGAGGAGACACATGGAAATATACATAAAGCAGTTAAAACAAAAACAACAAACTTTATTGAGAAAGTTAGACTTAGTACAGAACATCCTCAGCCCTATGTCTTTGTAAAAGGAAGGTGGGGGATGGAGCCCACCCGACAGAAGGAGAGGCAAGAAGAAAGGAAGTCAGGGGGTGACAAGGTAATAACCACCTCCTCCTGAGAGTCTGGGAAAAGTAGAAGGGAGCAAAGGACAGAGGGGGGGGGAGGGAGGAAAGAGTAGCCAAGAAGCCCTGCCAAGCCCTGCTCTCCAGCCCCTCTGGTACTTGGGATACAGAAGGGATACAGAAGGGAAGATGCCTACACCCCCCCCTCCTGGTTTCTCTGGTTCCAGGACTCCCCAGTTGTACTTCCTCTTTTGCCACATTTATTTATTTATTTTATTTATATTCCGCCTATCTGGTCAGTTACGACTACTCTAGGTGGCTTACATCATAAAAATACACAGGAAATGTATAAAAGGAAAAAATTATTATGTAATGAACACATTCCACAAGATGGGAGGCAAACAGTAGGGGAAGAGAGGAAAGGAAAACATCAGGGATTAACTGGAGGGAAAGCCTGCCGAAACATCCACGTTTTTAGTTGATTTTTAAAGATACCCAGCGAGGGAGCCGCGCAAATCGCCGGAGGTAGATTGTTCCAGAGGCGAGGAACCTGTGTCCCTGCCTGATACTGGCCAATCAGCCCTCCCCTGGAGAGAGTTCTGATCACCTCGGCTGCTCTTTGGGAGGCTCTTCTGTGGAAGCAAAAGCGTGTTAAGGATCAAGGTTGGCAACCCTTTCCCAGAGGCGACCTTCAAAAAGCCTCTGGAGAGCCAGCAGGTCACCGTTTGCAGGCTTCACTGCCCTTGAGGACTGCCCTTAGATACAGCGGTTGGGTGCCCTCTCAAGAGGCTGCTGTCCCAAGAAGGGGCCTTGGGTCCAGGCTTCAGGTGGCCAAGCAGGCTCCTCCCCAGCTCCGCTGATGGCAGGCCCCCTCCTCAGTGTCGTACGACGGCATATGTTGTCTCTTGGCCTCCGTGGCCTGGCCTGTTCCGTGGTGGCTTTGGGGTCTGGCTCTTGGCATCTGGCAGCATTAAGGTGGCATAGAGGAGATTTGGCTCCACAGGGGGTTTAAGTGGGCAGGGTGGAGACTGGGGGGTAGCAGGAGGGCCAGGGTGGGGGGTTCTGACTTCTGGAAGGCAAAGAGTTGAGGAGACACTCATCCATGAGAAGGAAGGACACAGCTGCCACCCTCACAGCTAGCCCCACACCCTTCCCCCTCCACTGGAAGTCCTCCTGGCTGGCCAAGGACAGGTGGGCAGAAAGGCCCAGCCAGGCTTACCTTGGAAGCCAACCTCTTTATGTTCCATCGTCCCTGGTCTCTTCTTGCTTTTGCCTGCAACTCTCCTGGGAAAAACAAACAGACAGACATTCAGACTGGCACCTGCTAAAGCCGCCTCTACCGGTCATCTGGAGCTGCCCGCCCACACGGAGCTTCGATTTGCCACTGGAACCAGGTGGCATCTTGGCAACTACCCCACCTCAACTGCCCCCCACCCATCCAGTTCCATTGGTGGCTCACCACCTTTGCTTCCAGCACTGCCCGCAAGGTGACTCTGTGCAGGACAGTTGTGGGAGAATGAAATACAACTTGGAAAACCATGCAGGTGGGGGTGGGGGTGTACCAGAGAGGCCATAGAGGTATGAAAAAACTCAAAGAATGCTGGCCGGCCCAGCCAGATTGTTCCTGGAGCAAAGGCCAAACGATGCCTTCCTTCCACCACATGCCAACTCCAGGGCTTTGAGTGCCTGAAGTTCTGCCTGTACCTTCAGATGCCAGCTCTGCGTATCACCTTTTGCCTCCTGCCTCACCTGGTCACATTGCATGGCCAGCTCAAAGGAAGAAGGTTCACTCAGGCATCTTGTACGTCTGCAGCCACTCCTGACACTGGGAAGGGCGCCAGTTCAGGCGAAAGTAGCCGTGGCCCCTGTGTCCTGCTATGGCAGCCAGCCCAACCCAACAGTGGGGCCGGGGATGATCCTTGCCCTGTGCTTTGCCTGTGAGCTTCCACAGCTCGGGAACCCAGCATTGGAGGGCTGAGCCACAACAGCACAGGGTGCGGGATCCAAGTGGGAAGGTGGGCCAGCAGAGACATTTCAGAGAACCGAGGAGGGCAGCAAGGCCAGACGGGCAAAGACTCACGTGTTTTGAAGGCAGCCTGGGCAATGACCTGGAAAAGGAGAAAGGGGAAGGTCTGTGTCAGAGAGACGGTTGGGTGGGGAGGGGGTGGAGAGCCAAGGAGCTGCAGGGCAGGCTAGGCACTCCATTCTCTCCCCCCCCCCGCTGCCCTGGAAGACCTGTACCTAATGAAGAGGGGGCACTACGAGGACCCCCTGACTGGAAGCCCCAAGGTTGGGTGGGGGTGGGATTCTTCAGGGAAGCAGTGCAAACCCTCAGAAATGGAAGGGTGCCTGAGGCTGAGAAAATGGGTAGGCAGAAGGCCGTCCCTCAGCCTCCTTCCTGCTCATGCATGACTACAGAGTCATTGTTGTTTCGACAACTCTAGGACCCCATCGGACTAAAGATGTAGAATCTGGGAGCACGATTCTACAAACAAGAGCTCTGACACACACACACACACACACACACCCAGCAAGCCAGCTCTGGACACCGCACCCATCTTGAGCCGGCTACCTGAATCTGCAGGGATCAAACTCAGCTCATGAACAGAGGCTGGACTCCAATTTAGCTACTACTGCACCATGGGACCCCAAAGAGTTCAGGGCCCCCCCAAAGATGGTGGTGGTCAGGGCACACGGGAGGGGACCAAGCCCGGCTTTCTCCTGCCTCAAGATGTCCACAGCCACGAGTCATGGGGACCGAACCGTGCTTCCATTCTCTGAGCGTGGTCACAAAGCGACACGACCAGGAGTGTGCACTTGCTGACGTCCCGCTTGTGGGTTTCCCAGGATAGAGGGAAGACCTAACGGTCTGTTATGGGAACAAAATGTTGGGATGGCCTCCAGCACAAACCCTGAAGTGGCTTTCCACGGGGAAGCAAAGCGCTTTATCTCCAAGGCAGACCCAAAAGCCAGCCAGCAAACAAACAAACAAAGGTTTAAAAGGGATCAAAATGAAGGAGAATGTTCCTGCAGACAAGGCTTAAGGCCACCTTGACACCTTTTTTTTTAACAAGAAAGATGGGGTAGAATCATAAAACCATAGAATGATTAAGTTGGAAGGGGCCTCTAAGGCCATTAAGCCCAACCCCCTGCTCAATGCAGGAATACAAATCAAAGGATATCTGCCAGGTAGTTGTCTAAATTCCTCTTGAAGGCCTCCAGGGCTGGAGCGCTCACCACCTCTGCCAGAGGTCATTGGTTCCCTTGTCGTACCTCTCTTAGAGTTACAACATTTTTCCTGATATTCAGCTGGAATCTGGTTTATTGTAACTAGAGCCCATTCTTATGTATCCTGTACTCTGGGATGACTGAGAACAGATCCTGCCCTTCCGCTATATGACAGCTTTTCAAGTCTTTATAAAGTGCTATCATATCTCCCATCAGTCTTTTTTTCTCAAGGCTAAACATGCCAGGTTCTTTCTACCTTTCCTCATAGACCTTGGTTTCCAGCTCCCTGATCATCCTTGTTGCTCTCCTCTGAACATATTTCAATTTGTCAGCATCCTTCTTAAATTGTGGTGTCCAGAACTGGACACAGTACTCAAGGTGAGCCCTAACCAGTGGCAAATAGAGATTTGGAGACTATACTTGTTACTGCATCCTAATATAGAATTTGCCTTTCTCTCTCCCCCCCCCCTCTCTCTTTTTGGTAGCCACATCACACTGTTAGCTCATATTCAGCTTGTGACCTACAATGACTCCAAGATCCTTCTCGCTTGTAGTGTTGCTGAGCCAGGCATCCCCCATCTTGTAACTGTGCAACTGGTTTCTTTTTCTGAGGTGCAGTACTTTGCAGTACTCTGTCACGTTCCCGGGGGTTACAACAGCCAAAGTC